GCTGGGCCAGGTAGGCGGAGGAATCATCCAGGTCGTCCGGCAATCGTTCAATCACCGGCCAAGGGTTTGCGTGTCGCAGTTTCGGCACCCAATACATCATGCGACGGTAGTGCGTCATCACGTGACTTCTGAAGCCGAAAACCTCGACAATTTTGTCGCCAACCTCGTCATCCGGCAGGACCTCTAAACAGAAGGATGGAGATGAGGGCCAATGAGAAGAGGCATTACATGGTAGACCCCATGCCACTTGTCCGAGTTGCCCGCAAGAACCAGATATTTGCGGCTTAATGCTTGATAACAGGTCAAAACAGTCGGAGCGACTCCTAGCTGGCCGAACAGAAAACTACAGGACGATAATTCAAGAAAGATGGTCCGTTCAGCGAGTCACTGTGCTTCCGAGTAGAACTATTGGGCGTATGCTAAACGGTCAAGTTATTTATCGGATAGGTTGACCCTGGCGAACGACAACGTCGACCGCGGGGGCAGGGTTGACCGTTGCGCAGATTTCTTCATAGTGAAACGGACCTGCGCTACAATTACCTCCTCCTCGCCTCAGGGCGGCCAGATAAAGTCAAGACGACGGATGTTTGGCATCGATGCAGCGGATGGCAAATTTAAACAGTGCGTCTACGCGTGTCACACACAACCCAGTACCTAGTACACAAATGCATTTGGCTACAACTGAGTCCTCAACCTCACATAGATGAGTGTCATAAAGGCTACATCAAGAAGGATCCGTTGCAGGCTGGCTCTCTTCGGTCATGATAGATTGAGGCGTGTCCGGTTGATTGCAAAGGAGCACCCCGTGATTTGTCGTGAGAACGTATGTCCCAAAATCGGCCTCAATCTCTGCTTGCTCCCCCATATAGCAATGACTTGTCAACATTAAGATTGGGGGCAGCGACCGACCGGACGTGATATCATCGTCAACTGCGTGCCACATACGTACTACACTGCCACATGCCTTGGACATTGGCATTTGTGACGATAGAACAGTCATACTAAAGTCAAACGAAAGGTGCCTCTGGGGGGGGGCACATAATTCATTGATCTTGATCTTGGTAGTCTTCTGCGGAGACGGAATTTCATGTTTTTACGCATAAACGCTTTCCTAAGAGAGCTAAAAACCAACTAGACTGACAACGAAAGATGACGGGGTACTATGGGCGGTCTGTGGTCCCAACAAGATAAAGGCATGCAGTTCTAAGAAGGGCGGTCCCTCCGCCCGCTGAAATCAAACCCAGACCGTACTGTATTCTGCAAACAAGGCAACCCCCCAACGTCACTATGAAGCCGTTGTTGAATGCTGTTTATAATGCATGCGAAAACTAATAGCAGAGCCAACCACCCAGTAAGGTCACAGCATTTAAAAACGCCGAATTCTAAATTGTGCATTAACTACTAAGATTTGAGTCACTTACAGTAGATTATCTATCTTATGAAATGTCAACCGAACGGTGCCCCTCATTCGAACAACCCACCTAGGTAGGATTGTAATATTATTTATCGTACATCCTAGCTACTGGCTACCCAGCACGTTCACAGGTGGCCTTCAGTGAAGGCTAGCTGCGAAATAAGCAGACCCTCGGGTTTGGCGAGTGAGCAGTCAGGGGCCAGCAGCACCAGCGCTACCAGAGTG